AGATGTATTAAATTAACAAAAGTAATATAAAGTTGACTTTTAAAGACTATAATACAGGGAAATATATGTAAGGTTTCATGTAGAGAAATATATATGAGAGATACACTAGGCAATACATAAATGCACTCACACATATATGCCTTGATTTAAAACAGTCCTTTACATTCTTATCTACACAGCATGTCACTTCTCTTTTCAATACTGTACGTTAAAACAAATCTGTTGACTGTTACAAGTGCATAGACATATAAATCATTATTCTACTCAGAGATTCTCTATTTTAACATGCAAACATATTCAAGAAACGGGACGAAGAAAAAATATTCATGAATTTTGATTCACTTCTAGAGTTTATAAAAACACTATTTAATATATTTCATATTTATCTGTTTGGATTCTCAACTCAGAAGAACAGTTAAAAAGTTGATTCTTTTGATTTTTTTTTTCTCTAAAATTATAAATATCAAAACGTACAGTTGTTTTACACTGAATCGAGAAAAATTAAAAAAAGTTTTGTTGCTATTAAAAGGAACAACTTCTTATCTATTGTAAAGTGTTTTGTAAAAAAAAAATTCTAATTCTACACAGGTGTAAGCTGAAATTTTGAAAGGAAGCTGGAATCTAATATTGGGAACATTTGGAGAACGGGCCCTAAGACAATAAATTGACAACGCACTTTTTTGATTTTTTTTTTCTCTAACATTTGGAGAACGGGCCCTAAGACAATAAATTGACAACGCACTTTTTTGATTTTTTTTTCTCTAAAATTATAAATATCAAAACGTACAGTTGTTTTACACTGAATCGAGAAAAATTAAAAAAAGTTTTGTTGCTATTAAAAGGAACAACTTCTTATCTATTGTAAAGTGTTTTGTAAAAAAAAATTCTAATTCTACACATGTGTAAGCTGAAATTTTGAAAGGAAGCTGGAATCTAATATTGGGAACATTTGGAGAACAGGCCCTAAGACAATAAATTGACAACGCACTTTAGTCAAAATTTGTTTTCGCTCCATGGTCTCCAGGTCAGGACATACAACAACCTGTTTCATCGCAAGTGAGTTAAGGCTAAATATGGGCTTTTTTATGCAAATGAGCTAATAAAACTGCATGTTTTGTGTATTTTATGTACCGAGAATGTTCAAATCGATTTTCTTATACATACTTAGTACTGACAGTATATTATTGCAAGTGCACATTATGATGTCATATTATGACGTCAGAGTTCTTTCCCAATGAAGGTAATAAAATACATCAACAAAACAACGTCGGCGCAAGGGCCTATCCTATTTAATTTAAAATAAGTAATGTATAATACTAAGGGGAATATTCTTAAAAGTAATAAAAATGCTGCACAAATGCTATGCTCTTCTTCAAACGATAGAAATTTTACGAAACTTACACTGGACTATGCATTTTTACCCTGTTTCAACTTAGTGCTGTACGAATAGTAACTTGACAATTGCAGTTTCGACATTTGTGCAGCAATATCTTGAACCCTTGGAATATTCTGCTTTTCTTTATACATTGTTTCTGTAAAACAAAGTAATGTATGCCCTTGCGCCAGAGCGATTTTGTTGATGTTTCTTATAAACTGGTGTAGTAAAGGCTGATGATGTCATAATATGACGTCATAATGTGTACTGGCTATCGCATATCGTGGGTACAAAGAATGTATTAGAAAACAAGTCATAGCATTTCTTTGCGGTATGTATAGCAATTACGGGTTCTAACTAGATATATTTCAAAGAAACCTCATACGTAGCCTTAACTCACTTGCGATGTCTTATGAGAACTGATTTTACTCCTGTTTCCTTTTCATTCGTATGAAGTAGCGTTTAAAACTTATACATAAAAAACTTTCCTTTGCTTTCAACTATACGTTTTACTTTTGATCCAGAGATGTATATTCTAGTAAGAATGGTGTTTTTTTTTTATATATAACTTTCGATTGTATATATTCAATTGAACATGAGATGAAACACTAAACAAAGTTTACCTCAAGTATATCATATTTTGTTAATTTTGTTATTTTAATAGCTATACACGATAAGTTTTTTTTTTGGTTTATTTATTTTTTTTTTTTTTGGTAGCCTGTCCAACTGTCCGTCCGTCTGTCACACATTGTGTCTGAAGAACTGTAAGAGATGTGGACTTGGTATTTTGCACATTTATTGCTAGGCACTATTGTGTTTGTAAATTGACATTGTTGCCAATCTCATGACCACCGACCTTGGTCTTTGACGCACTTTACTAAAAGTTATTTTTTTTTAAATAGATTCCTGGTTTAAAGCCATCATTTAGTTAGATTGAATGTCGAATTAATGACCTTGTAAGCAAATACAATATTATGAGGTCATAATATATCTACACACTGAGTTGTCCATCCATTTCTCAGAGTTTTTTTTTTTTTTAATGAACATGCCAAGGAGAACAAGACGGGTTTGACCGATCGGCAGGAGATATTCAATCCTCCATGGTGCGTGACACCACCTCTGACGCTTTGGAGGTCTGTGTTGAATTTTTTTAATAAAATGTTGATCCTGAATACTGTTTGTTTTATCCAGATATTCATTGGATATACTTATTAATAATGCCACATGAGCACGGTTTCATATATCGATATTATTTGCACTGTTTTTGCAGAGTTTTGTTGTTTTCTTCCCCTAGAGATTTTCCTATTTGAAAGCATCTAATAAACTTTTTAAACTTACAATTCCAATGAACGCTCGGGCGTTTTAAATATTGATAAAACATAATCATATTTGTGTGTCTAGAACTTTTTAGTTCACCTGAGCCGAAGGTTCAAGTCTTCAATCTTTAAAAATCTTCTTCTCAAAAACCACTGGGCCAGGAAAGATGAAACTCATGTGGGATCATCCTCAGGTAGTGTAGATTCAAGTTTGTTCAAATCATGACCCCCTGGGGTAGGGTGGGGCCAAAATGGCGGATCAAAGTTTTACATAGGAACATATAGGGAAACTTTTTAAAATCTTCTTTTCAAGTACTTCAAAGCCAGGCTTCGTTATATTTATAGGGAATCATCCTCAGGTAGTGTAGATTCAAGTTTGTTCAAATCATGACCCCCTGGGGGGGGGGGGGGGGGTGAAAAATTCAATTGATCTGTGTTTTTTCCTAGCCAATTGCTCAGGTGAGCTATATGGCCCCTGGGCCTCTTGTTAAATATGTTCCAATCTTGCTACTTGAAAATGTTTATATATATATATATATATATATATATATATATATATATATATATATATATATATATATATTATATATATATATATATACAATATATATATATATATATATATATATATATATTGTATATATATATATATATATATATATGTAGGACTCCAAAGTGCGATGGGACTCCAAAGTCCGATGGTCACGCCAAAGTCCGATGGTCTGCGCCAAACCCTGATGGTCTGACACGCCAAAGTCCGATGGTGAGGAAATCAATTAACGTTAATGACGTCATAGTAGCACTGCGCCAAACCTCAATGCTGCGCCATGCCAAGGTGTTTAAAATAAGTGTAAATAAATGCGAAAACTAACCCTTATCTCTCATGGGTGCGAGATTAACGCTCGAAAAGTGTGTATTAACAATAACCTAAATATCTTGAGTTGGGGCAAGACTAACCCTAATCACTCGACTAGTGTGCGAGGACTAACCCTAATTCACTCGGGTTGTGCAATGCAAGGACTAACCCTAATCAATCGAGTGGTGTGCGAGGACTAACCCTTATATCTCTAGATTGATTGATTGATTGTATATTGTTTAACGTCCCTCTCGAGAATTTTTCACTCATATGGAGACACCACCATTTGCTGGTGGAGAGCTGCAAATTTTGTCCTATGCTCGGCACTTAGGGCCATTAAGCAGGGAGGGATCTTTTTCGTGCCAGCACCTACTGTGACACGGGGCCTCGGTTTATACAGGTCTCATCCGAAGGACCGGCCTCCACGTCCCGCAGAATATCTCTAGAAGGTGCAAGCAATAAGCAAAATCAATAATAAAAATTGTGTTCAAGGACAAGTTCAGAAATGATTGCTTTTGAATGCAGGACAACGGCGTCAAGGATTGACGTTGGATTATTATTATTCATCCGCACCATCGGACTTCGGCGTGTCAGACCATCGCACTTTAGCGTCGCGCGTCTCATAGGAAACGAGCCATCGGACTTTGGCGTGGCCATCGGACTTTGGCGCCCGTAAAGACAATGAGCCATCGGGGTTTGGCGCAGACCATCGGGGTTTGGCGAGACCATCGGACTTTGGCGTGACCATCGGACTTTGGAGTCTTACATATATATATATACATTTAATTTTTTTTTCAAAACGGAAAGGGACACCAAAAATGCATAATACATAATTTTTTTTTTCCAACAGTAGGAAATTAATCAATGTAAATGGTTCCATTACGTCAACAGCTTCAAAATAAAAATTCTCTTTTATAAGTTCGTAAAATTTGTATGAATAATGACAATTTTATAACATTTGTACTTAACATATTAAAACTACTTTATAAAATTGAGGTACTTAATAAGTATAATTTTATCCTTATTACATTGTGAGTTAGAGTGGATACTTTTCTGCACGCAAGTGGCTTTATTTTCATTAAATAGCTCCTTCGCGTGTTCGGCGAATTATAAATACTTTTTTCCGGACTCCATGCGTATCAAATATGACAATGAATGCGAGATTTGATCTTCTGGAGTCACTGTTTGCTTTTATAAAACTTTTACTTCCCTGTTTTAATTTGTGAGGTTTACATGCACAGTCATGTATGTGCTCATTTTTATCCTAGGGATTTTTATGTTTTCTTCTGCGTACGGTGAGAGAACTTTTCTTTTTTTTTCATTTTTTTTAGCTATGGAGAGTTTTGCATTAATACATTACGTTTATATGTATTTATTATTTCTCATTCAAGGTTTTCATATTATCTTATGAAAAGACTTATTCGATTCTTGCGTGACCATAAATACTTTCTTAAAATTCAATGTGGGAGTCAATGAAAACAAAGGAAGAATGGTATCTGTTACAACTCAACGAAAACATAAAGTTGTCCCTTCTGTTTTTTTGTTTCATCAAATTGCTTAAATAAAATAAACATTGTGTTCACTGTGTTAGATAATGAGATGTTGAAAAAGTAGAGAATGTTTCACTAGTTTTTTTTCTATTAAAATGCGTGTTTCTAGAATAAATATTTGTTGCGTGATGAAGATATTTCAGACGAAGAGCATTTTGTAATACACACGTTTAACTTGACATGTAATGTATATATTGCATACATAGCAGGAACACAAAACTCGGTATATAAATATACCGCCTCTGATTCTTAGGATTATGTTACTGTTTTAAACAGAGTAAATTAATCACGCATGCTTGTATATTAAAGTGTCTCAAATCAGGAAAAAAAAACAAAAGGAAAAAATCCGGTTTCTTTCTAAATAAAAAAAACCTACATAAAAATGCATGATATTTGATTATTTCCTGGAGTGAATTGAAATTAAAGAATAAACCAGTCCTGTAAACCCCAATCTATTAAAAATTGTGTATAATCAGTTGTGTAAAAATTGTAGAGATATCATATTACTCCCTAGGTATAATAAAAAATTCCTCAATGCTTTCATACAAATGAATCTTTAAGGTGAGATATGTTTCCCCAATCATACGTTTGAATGCCGACGTAAGCAATAGCTTAAGTACATTACACATGCTACCGTCGCTGTGTGGCGCAGTCTTTAGAGCTTTGGCTCTACAATCGCAAAGTAAGTAGTTTAACCTTCCCGCGGTAGACAAGTCCCTTGGATGTCTTAATAGAAAATTTTATCGTCATCATAATGTAATTATTAGCCATAATTACAATTATCCAATATAAATAATGTAGTAAAAATTCGCCATCCTGATTATGAATACATTTTCAACAAGAGATGTTTGTAAAACACTTATGCCCTTCTCCCCGCAAATTGGAATTTTTCCAAGTCCAAGGGGCAAAACTCTGTCAAAAATGGCACGATTGTACCGAAAACAAAACTTGTCCTAGAAATTCATCTGATGAATCTGAATAGTAAATTTCATCTTAGTATGTGCAACGGTTGTGAAGAAAATAAACAGAAACTGCAAATAATTGGAATTTGGAAGTCCAAGGGGCATAACTCTATGAAAAATTATGCGATCGTACCCAAAACAGAACTTAATCTATATATTCATCTGATAAATCTTTATACAAATTTTCATCTCAGTATGTGCAACGGTTGCAAATAAAATATACGGAAACTGCAAATAATTGAATTTTTCTAAGTCCAAGGGGCATAACTCAGTAAAAAATGGTGCGATCATACCCAAAACAGAACATGACCTAGGTATTTATCTGATATATCTGTATACAAAATTTCATCTCAGTATGTGCAACACTTGCAAATAAAATGAACGGAAACTGCAAATAATTGGAATTTTTTTAAGTCCACGGAGCATAACTCTGTCAAAAATGGCGCGATCGTACCCGAAACAGAAGTTGACTTAGATATTCATGTGATATATCTGTATATCAAATTTCATATCAGTATGTGCAACGGTTGCGAAGAAAATGAATGGAAAATAATTGGACCGACAGACCGACAGACCGACCGACAGACAGCAGCAAAGCAATATGCCCTCCCTTCTTCAAAGGGGGACATAATAACAAAAATGTCTTTATTTCCATTGCGCACCTTAACTGTACTATGCATGTCTTTGAAGTACAGTTTAAACTTATATGTATGCGAAATGAGACGCAGATTACCAAGACTTAATATATACGTACGGAAACAATTTTAATTATTTGTTGCAGCATAATCTTTATACATGCATGAAAATAATTTGTTTGTTAACGCATAATTTGTGCTTGTATCTATTTTTAAATCAGAAAATCTGGCTCTTCGGAAACCGGCTTGGCAGAGTTCTTCACATGATGCCACTGTATCCGGTCCTGAGAAAGCTGTTGACGGATTGAAAACATACTTATCTTATAATGGACGCCAATGTAGTGTATCAGCTGATAAAAGAAGCAGTGCTACCTGGTGGGTTAACCTCACAGACATTGTTAGCATTTATAACATTGTGATCTACTACAGAACCGACGATAAAGCATGGGGTACGTATATAAATTATATGCAAGTAGAGGTATTGGAAAAGAGGAAGCGACTTCATTATGTATTCAAAAATAACTAATCCAAACTTTTATTTCAACGTGCCAAGCGCCTGGCTAGGGAACAGTTGCTACATGCATCAATTTTTATGAATTTAGGTTTATCGTGTTCGACATTCAAACTCAGAACCTTTGGTTCAGAAGCAAACACTTCATCGACTGAGATACCACAAACCTAGTATTTTTTAAGCAAAATTCAGAGTGATTAACAAACATCCAGAATTACTTTCATTGCGTTAAGAACGTTTAACAGTATATTCAAACAAATGAAAAATGAAATACGATAACAACTAAGTTTTTACGCATTTATCTGTTACAAAAGTATTTTTAATGACGTCTGAAAATATATTTTTATATATTCTAAAACCCCCTATCATTTTGTCTATTCATGTACACATTTTGTATTAATTATTTCTCTTACGGTGTACAGCTTCAATTGAATGCATGATGTTAAAAAAAGAACATTTTTACAATATTGTCTTTCTTGTATGAGACAATGACATTTAACGTAAAAATTTAAAAAAGATCATGAAACAATTAGAATATAGTTGAAAATGTTTTCTTCTTCATATTAAGTAAACACAACTTAAAAAAGTGAGGTAAAATGAAGAATAATTTTTGTTTTCATATTCCACAATGTTGTCTTACATCAATTAAACTATGATTCAAGTAAGTTTCTTTTTCCAAGATTCTTACAAACATTATACTTAAAATCACTGTACATGCTAAATGCATGTACCATAATCTTCTGTATTAATCGCTAAATATGGGTACAATTTATTATTAGTTTTCCCTTAGGCAACAGTGAAAACAGGTCTTCAAATAGTCCCTGATTTACCTTAAACATTTCGAGGGATGTGTCCATATTGTCATTTTTTTTTTACACTGACAGGATACAACCTAACAGAAAACGAAGCCGGAGCGCAACAGGGTTTGCTCTCTTGGTCCGCTTTGTGTAATACTGGGCCAGTGTCGAACTCATTGGACATTTCGTCATTCATCGGTTCAAACTGTTGCTAACAACAATTTGTACCAAGACAAGCCTTTTTTTCTTGAGCTTATGAATAACAAAATGAACATGTAGTGAAGCTTAGGACATTTTGTCAACTATATATTCTGTTTAATTGCAAATTTTCTTACCTTTATATTGTTTTGAAAAATGAGTACTAAGTCATGAAAAGAGAGAGAAGGAGAACACTTTACAAATACTCAGAAAGAGAGACATAAACAGAGGGATATCGAATTCCACATTTCACTGTTAATTGGATGGATGAAAATGAATATTGAATAAGAAAATTTGATGAATTTGTAAATTAAGTAAAAATGTATGAATTATTAATTGTTTACTACACCTACATATATTGGAGCGGTAAACTGAGTGTTCATATGTAGATTAAGGACAGATGATACAAACAAAAAATGGATGCCTGGATTGGTATATATTTTTTGGCCTAATTTCATTGCAAATAATGCAAATAATAAATTTCTAGAATATAAAGAAATTGTAAACCTTCTGTGATGTTCAAAAGTGTGCCTTTCCTAAACCATCCGTATAATTCTATAAAAATATTTTTCACTTTAAATTCCGTTGTTGTGCAAATTTGAATAAAAAATGAAAAACTAGGAGGTGAAAGTTATTATTAATTTTATTAATTTAAACATGACCCTAGTTGTTATTTTTTAATTTTTTTGAATAATTTTTTTTTTGTATTATCTGTCCTTAAAAGCCAAGATTTTTATTTATAGGACAATCGAATCAATATACGGGCAGATTTATGGGATTCTACGTGTACATTTCAAACACAAAAAGCAAAGAAGATGGTCACTTGTGTTTTCATGACAGAAACTACACCACAGCTACAATACCAGCCGTCGCCAACATAACCTGTCCCTTTCATGGGCAGTACGTCATCTACCACAATGAGAGACCAGTGAAAGATACTTATACAACTGGACACTCTCCAAATGCTTTTACTGAACTTTGTGAGGTCGAAATTTATGGTAGGAGAAGCATATTCACTTCAACGAAAAAGTTTTAAAGGGGGGGGGTTGTAAATGAGAGAAGTTTTAAAGCTTTTTATATCTTTTAATGTATTTTTTTTAAGATCATTCATTTTTTAATTTATTATTTATAAGGCTGTTCTGGTCCCAGACGTTACGGATCTAATTGCTTAAAGTCCTGTCCAACTAATTGCAAAGGGTACTGTCACATAGAATCGGGAGACTGTTTTCAATGTTCCCCTGGTTATAGAGGGGACCGCTGTGAGCAAGGTATGGGTTTTTCCTTATAAACCCCAGGATTTTTTGATATCAACTTCAAAATATAATTGTGTTCAAATAGAATATCTTTCAACAAATATGTGATATCAAGTTTGCAACTACTATTCTGTTTCAGAATGTGAGACGGGATTTTATGGAGATTATTGTAACCTGACTTGTGGATATTGCAAAGATTCTAATACATGCAATCCAATAAATGGAACATGTTCAAAGGGATGTGCCGCTGGCTTTCATGGATTGCTTTGTAACATAGGTAGAAAGACTATTGAACATAATACGTTTATTGATCAATTTTGAATTTAACGTGTTCCTTGTTATCCTTAAATGAAACTGATTTTGTTAAATCTATTAATTATCATGTTTTATTGCTTAAGAAAACATGGCTTATAAAAAAGCTGCATGGCAATCATCAACTTTTGATGTAAATGTTGGTCCGGAGAAAGCTGTTGATGGACTCAAAAACAATTTATCTCATGCTGGGCACCAATGCAGTATTTCACAGAATGGAAAAAAACAAGCCACATGGCGGGTGGATCTCTCTGAAATTCGAAGCATACGAAACGTTGTGATATACTACAGGACGGCTAATGCAGTTTGGAGTAAATAGGATTTCAATTTCATTTTCTGAAGAATATTAGTGCAAGTTGATTCTTCGAACTTTCATGTTGACTTTTCCAACTTTAAAATTTTTCGTTTGAACCTTAATATTGCTTTCTTTTTCCAATTTTAAAGTTGAGTTGGTAATCCGAATTTTAAGCTTGGTCTTTCAACTTTAACCTATTTTTTTATAGTTAATATTGGCTTAGGAGACCGTAGGGTTGGTTAAACCAATTTTTAATATGAACAACTTTATAGTAGGAAAAGCCAAGATTAGAGTTACATTTCCAACTTTTAAGTTGAAAGCTCAAAATTTAAGTTAGAAATTAAAGACAACTAATTACCTGAAAAGTTGAAAAATCCAGGATTAAAGTTCATTCACCAACTGCAGAGTTAGCAAATTAAAGACCAAAATTATTTTTGTATATTGTTTAACGTCCCTCTCGAGAATTTTTCACTCATATGGAGACGTCACCGTATGCCGGTGAAGGGCTTCAAATTTTGCCCTTTACTCGGCCATTGAGCTGTGAGGGATCTTTATTGTGCCAACGCCTGCCGCTGACTTGAAAAGCAAAGATTGAGAAAAATAGATGAAATTATCAATTTGAAAGAGAACTTGATAGTTTGAACCAACAGATAAAAAATATCTTTCAGAGTTTAAATTGAATTATAAGAATTACAAATAAAAATAATGTAAAAAAAAGTTCTTCAAATGCATATTTCTATGTATGATATGCACGATTACTTATCTTGGGCAAGATAGGCTAATCTGATACTCAGGAAACTTTTGAGGGGTAAAATATTTTTAGTTGCTTTCATTTGGCTATGTGACACGAAACATTTATTTCTGTATCAAATATATTGAAAGGAAAGAGGTCTCTTAGAAAGATCCACGAGTACGATTTGTGTGCATGGAACTGCCTAAGACAAGAAAAAGCAACAACGTTTTGTTGTGCAATTTGTTTTTATTATTTTAAAACACGGAAATTTTACCATTTTTCAGAAATTAACTTGTTAGGTTGTCAATTAACCTGGAAGGTAAAACTTTTATAGGATCACATAGAATTATGTTTTGGGTGCCCTTCTTTACAAATTATGATTTGTCACATTCAAAACCTTCATACATTTTTCATTTTGAAATGAAAATTTTAAATATTGGATAATACAATTTTTGTCGATTAAATAATTTTTTTTTATCCGTCATAAAAAAACCTTCTGTATTTTTCATAATTTTTTCTTCAAATGCCATATTCAATCCGTGAACTGACAACCCCAATTACCCTCTTAATCATAATTATCCATCTCATCCCAGCCCTCGGGTTCCAGGGACTTTTACATATTTATTGAATACACCTTTAACGTCAAGCAGTAACTCGGATATCATCGAATGTAAACAATAAACATGTCTGCTAGGTTTATGCTTCAGTTTTTATCTTTCCTCCTTTCCAACCAATTCCGCTAGAGCCTTTGTAAGTTTGAGCGGCAAATGAGAAAATGTAAAAAACAACTAAATTTTACACCCATGGTTGTTTAATGATTTAAAAATTATATATTATAATATATATAACTCTAAATCTGAGCTAAATTATTCAAGCATAACCTGGTTTAGGTGTCCTTGTCAGCAAATAGAATTTATCATTGAGTCAAACGCTGACTGACATTTTTCATACCAAATGTTAGTCCATTATTTATACACTGAATTGACGATGGATTTTCCGTTATTTCCTGATCATGACAAGGAGCACACGGCGGATGTGACCGTTCGGCAGGGGATGCTCACTCCTTCATGGCACCTGATCCCACCTCTGATGTTTCGGGGGTCCGTGTTTGCTCTGATCCTATTTTGTATTGTTTTATGGACTTTGAGATTAAATACTGTTCGTTATCTGCATATCCTTCTTCTTAGGTCAATTTATCCTCTTTGTGGATTATAAAACGTAAATTGATCATGACCAGAACCAGGTTTCACTCCAATAATTTGGTACAAAAAAAGAGAAAACAATGCGAATGTTTTTATTGTTTATTTAAATTGTTATACTTTTTCATATTTGTATTATCAATATGATTTTAAATCATTACAATGGACAGAAACTACATTACAGATGCAAGTAACGGCTTCACAACCCGATTTCCGGGATTTTATCTCTACGTATCGAATTCAACAGACAAACTTCAAGGTTATTTATGTTTTCATGACAAAAACTATACCACTACAACGATACCAGCCGTCATCAATATAAGCTGTCCTGTACATGGACAATACGTCATCTATTATAACGAGAGGCCAGTAAAGGATAACAGAACCGGGTTGTCTACAAATGCTTTTGTTGAACTCTGTGAGGTTGAAGTTTACGGTGAGATATTCGAACTGATTTTTTTTTTTTACATATGCATTGTTGATGAGGAAAAAAAGAATCATGTTTTTTTTAAGAATCATATTTTAAAAAAAAAATAAAGAAAAAAAAATGTTTTGAAGGTTGTTCCGTCCCGCGTAGATATGGACCGAGCTGTTCCAAACCATGTCCGACAAATTGCGATGAATACTGCCACATAGAATCAGGGGATTGTCTTCAATGTAAGCCTGGCTACAAAGGTCCAAGATGTGAACAAAGTATGTTTAAAACACCAGATTTGTATGTGTATCTATATACAAAATTTGGTGTTGTTTTTTTTTTTTTTTCATTTCAATATAAAAAACTGGAATTCACCAGAATGATATATTGACTTATTGTATATTAATGTTTAACGTCCCTCTCGAAAATTTTTCATTCATATGGAGACGTCACCATATGCCGGTGAAGGGCTTCAAATTTTGACCTTTACTCGGCACTCAGGGCCATTGAGCAGTGAGGGATCTTTATCGTGCCAACGCCTGCCGCTGATACGGGGCCTGGGTTTTTAAGGTCTCATCCGAAGGACCCGAAACTTTCACTTCAAAGTGCCGAGCGCATGGAGAAGGAATAGTTGCTACCCATTTTAACGACTAGGTCAGTCGCGGCCGAGATACGAACTCACGACCTCCCGATCACGGAGCAGACGCTCTACCGACTGAGCTTAGGTGAACGGTACCAGAATGATATAAACATGAAAATATAAAACAAGATTTTTTTTATCTTGTCATTACAAACAAGAGAGAGACTATGACGTCAGAAAAAAAAATTATATGTTAACTTGATAAGCATTCTATTCATTGTATCCCTGTTTTGTATACCTAAAAGAATCTTAACAAACTCAGTGTGGTCGTGTTTGGGATTTTTCCTCCCCAGAAAATAGATATTACTCTCTTTTGCAAAATTTAACAGTTTACCAGCTGAAGAAATTAAACGTGCCAATCGTGCAACTTTGATTCAGATTGTGCATTGTGTCCTTATTTAAAAAAATTAATTATTTTATTAAAATAGTATCATTTGTGAATTTCCAGCATACGCTTATAATGTGATGTAAACGTATATGTTTATTGTTAAAGCAATGTTTGTTGTAGAATGTACAAGTGGATTTTTTGGTGTGCAATGTGAAGAGATCTGTGGTAATTGCTTGAATTTCAACAGATGCCATCATATAAATGGGACGTGTCTAAGTGGATGCGAGAAAGGATACGAAGGCCACTACTGTAACACAAGTAAATGGATAGTCCTTTGCATAAATTAAAACTACACTTGAAGCACAAGGTCATAACGCTGTTACACTCAATATGCGTTATTGACTTGTTAAGAGGGCAGCATGTTATTTGTTGAACCTGACGGTAAAAATGTAACCCGTGACAGCTGGCCAAGGGAAATACTTTCGTCTTTAGGTCAGCAAAATTATATGTTTTTGAATCTAGGTCTATAACTGTTCAGTTATACCCTTCTTCTTATAGAGTTAGAATCTTTTAAAAATGATTAGATAACGGAAAGTATACACGCTCAGAAATCCATTTAACTTAACAAAATATGAACACAGCACATTTAAGGCTACAGTAAGGAGGCGGGGCCTAATTTGTACGGGAAATGTTTATGACGTCACACATAATATAAGGTCTTCAAAAAACCACAAAACGAAATTGTTTGCTAGTTCAAACAGCTGGATAGCTGTATACTACATAAAGACTTATCATTACATGCAGTTTTGTCGTTTGTCAAATCCCACACAACAGCATATAAACGATGGATCGATCGCAATGCACTTGTCATTGTGACGTCATCTCGCAAAAATTACGCACTTTGTACACAGTGAGAGGCTGATCAAGTCACTTTTTTTACAATGAAAAATGTCTTTTGTTCTCAAATAAAATATTATTTGCATTTATACAAAAGGCCGTAAACTTGGATGCAATGTGTATTTTACTATTTTATTAGTATATATAATGTCCGTATATTCTCCAGACAAGTGATACAGTCGTGTGTTTGTATGCAGATTCATTGAAAAAGAAATAAATAATAAAAACTAATAAATCGATTTATTGCAAGGGAATATCCACAATGAATATTGCCAACTTTCTACACATAAACTAGAGAAGCATTAAGATATTTTAAAAGTGCTGCGAAACTCATGAAATCTTGCAAATAAATTAATTTTAGCTTTATTTAATGTAGTTCACCAGCAAAATATTCAACCTGCCGACCAACAAATTTAATTTTAGCAATTAAATAAATGAATCTATTTAGGTTTGCAGCACTTTTCACAAACTACATATATCGTTGAAAAGAATTATAAATTAAACTAAGATTTTTAACTCGGATATGACCTTGCAATATTGGAATTTATAGATGACCTCTAAACTTCAAGTATAACTGCTAATTTCATGTGACTCCGACATCACGTGACAAGTCTAAATTAAAAAATATAAAGGTCCACAATATGTAGATTTGAGCCACATTTTATTTTTTTTAAATCAGTGATCCCCAGATAGCAAGACATAGTTGGGCCAACATTGGCCAATTTTTTTTTCCAACGTTGGCCCACTGTTGGTAACCTTACGTTGGCCCACGGTAATTTTGCTCATCGGCCCAACGTTGGTCCAACATGTTGGCATATTGTTGGGCCAACGTAGGTATAATTGTATGAGAACTAACAGCCAACCTTAATAACTGGTTGGTTAGGTTGGCCCAACGTTGGCCTTTTTTTGAAATGTCAGATGGCATATTGTTGGGCCAACGTAGTTAGTGTATGCCAACTAACAGCCAACCTTAACAACTGTTTGGTTAGGCTGGCCCAATGTTGGCCCTATGTTGAAATGTCAGATGGCATATTGTTGGGCCAATGTAGTTTTAAGTGTATGCCAACTAACAGCCAACCTTAAAAACTGGTTGGTTAGGTTGACGCAATGCTGACCCCCCTTTTTTTTTACAATGTCAGATGGCAAATTGTTGGGCCAACGTAGTTATTGCATAGAAACATTTGCAATTGGCAATTGGTTAAGTGATTCTTTACATAAACCTATTTTATGACTGTTTAAAATAATTAATACACAATTCAATCTGCATTCATAATGCATACATGTTCAATGAAAACATTACTAATGATTCACTGTGATAATATTTTATATACATCAATTCAATCATAATTTACAAAATAAATTTTAAAATAGACAACAGAGGTAAATTATGAAAAATTATCAATTAAAAGTTCTTAATCAGGGCTCACTTCCTTTATAATAGTCCTTTTGTTGTATTCCCGCTCTTTTTCCGTCCCCTCGTCGCCTCCCGTTTTCTTCATCTTGATCTTTGTCATACGGACTCATACTTTATACACTTCTTTATGCATGGTCTTCGATTTCATTGTTATTTACATGTGCCGCCACAACATTTGTTTTCCTTGCAGTCTCTGGCTGAATTTCTTTGTTACAATCGTGTCTGTAATAGACAGTTAAGAATTAGATAGATAGAAACAACTTAAAAGATGTTATTTAACCTTAACTTACAGTGCTTGTGTGCAAAAACATGACAAGAATGAATTCCGAATCAATTTTAACAGTTAACCTGAATAAATAAGAATAAATTTACTTACATCGCTTCTAAATGCAGCTGTATAGCAAGTGTATAATCCACAAATTTAAATTTCACTTCTTCTTGCTTGCCCTGTAATATCACCACCTGTGAGCAATTGAATCTGACAGCTCACTCTACAGTTTGGTCACGTGATAGCGAACGCCTAACTTTTGTTTCAATTTAATTATAAAGCTGTGTCATTTTGATTTATGTATATGTAGGTTTCATTCACATCCTGTTCCTGAGAACGTGTTCAGTCTTCTCTAAATTCTCATGAATACAACGCTCATGAAAAAATTCATAATTTCAAGGGTTTTATTTCAAATAGATAATCATGCATGTGCACAATTTAAAAAATATAGTAAAACACTCTTTGGTGCTGTGATCGTTTAAGTTAAAATCTAAAATTTGAATATATCAGATCTAAACAAAAACAGTCATCCAATTAAAAGCATGGACATAGAATGTCAGCTCAGCAGCTAAAATTGACACCATCTTTAGTTGGCAGTATAATAATTGGGCCAGCGTTGGCCCAATATAAATATTCCATCTTTGAAACACCTAAACAAAAGAACACTCGTGCTAACATCGGGCCAACATACTACAATGTTCTACCAAATTAATTGATAAGAAATTTTTTGAGGGTGTATTACAAACACTGGGCCAATATACTACTACCCATTTGATAAGACACTTTTTTTAAGGGTGTATAACAAACATTGGGCCAACGTTGGGCCAACATACTACTACCAGTTTGATATGACTGTAATAAGGATGTATTACAAACAGTTGGCCAACGTTAGGCCAACATACTACTATCAACTTGATAAGACGCATTCTTTATGGGTGTATAACAAACATCGGGCCAACGTTGGGCCAACATACTACTACCAACTTTAAAAGACACTTTCTTTAAGGGTGTATTACAAACATTGGGCCAACGTTGGGCCAACATACTACTACCAACTTTAAAAGACACTTTCTTTAAGGGTATTACAAACATCGGGCCAACGTTGGGCCAACATACTACTACCAACATTAAAAGACACTTTCTTTAAGGGTGTATTACAAATATCGGACCAACGTTGGGCCAACATACTACTACCAACATTAAAAGACACTTTCTTTAAGGGTGTATTACAAATATCGGACCAACGTTGGGCCAACATACTACTACCAACTTTAAAAGACACTTTCTTTAAGAGTGTATTACAAACAGTGGGCCAACGTTGGGCCAACATCAACATCCCTCCTTCTTTGGGAAGTAAAGTGAATGGAAGTTGCTAACGTTGAACCAACGTTGGGCCAACATAGGAATTCTGTCATGGTCGAGGAGGTTGGCATGGTGACATTGGTCCAACGTTGGCCCAACGTTGTTCCCCCAACGCCAACCATACAACCTTTTGCCAATGTTGGCCCAACATAGTCTTGCTATCTTGGGAAGTCCTAAAAAGAATCGCCCATCCTTATAAAGCAGGTATTTTCTCTCTTTAAAAAGTCGCAGATATTTCCATTTGTTATCTTAACTGTGCTGCGTAATATCTTACTTTAAAAAATTCATTCAGATTACCCTTATTGACAACAATTATTGTGATATACATTTGCGAATTGCAGATTTTCCCTGCAATGAAATTCAACATCATTTCTTCGTAGTTAAAATGTCACGATATCTCAAGCCATCCATGTTCTGTAGACGATGCTTGCAGATTTCCGTCGCGACTGAGCTAAGAGATGAGACGATAAAACGGATAGCACATGTTCCCATGCAATTCGCTGAGCACTTTATAATACATGTGCGTCCTTCGGAAGAGACCTCAATAACCGACCCCCCGCTTTCAACCAAACGAAGGGCAATTAACATCTTCACTGCGTTATGGTGCTTTTAGTCCCGAGTCAAGGTCATAATTTAAAGCCCTTCACCGGAATACAAGGTATATTGACTTCTTTGTTTGATTGAAAACTTCTCGAATGAATAAAAAAACAACATATAATCAATCTCAATTTTATTCACATTTGATTTTCTCGTTTTCAAAATATTAGACCAAAACATGCATGTGATGAACATGTAACTTCCTCAATATTCCTGCGATCTTGAAACTATAATATATTCAGTATATAAATTTGGATCTTTGCTACCAGCTGTTTAAAGGTCAAGGTGTGGAGATGTGATGTGAAAATTACCTGCAAAAACCAGTCTTCAAAATAAAGTAAAAGATAAAAAATAGTATTAAAAGACATAAGCGTTGGAACTGAAAGGGGATTGGGGCTAGGGGGCTTAGCCCCCTCCCACTTTATTGGTAAAGATATACATATTATAAGCATTCAGAAATGGTTTTTAGCTTTTTTGTTTGGTACCCTCCTACTTTCAATTTATCTCCCGCTCTACACTTTCAATTTGCATCCGACGCCTATGGGAAGTTTCAGCTCCTAATTTGTAACTTAATCAATTATAGAATTTTAATCTTGATATCGAGCTTGATATCGTATTTTGATTTGCAGTTAATAGCATGTGCTATGTGGTTACTTAATTTTTTTGCTTCATTATAACTTCTGAGCACTGCAGATCACATTATTTTGGCGTCCCTTTATTTTGGAATAAGACAAACATTGTCTCTTATATATCGAGACAAAGTTTTCTCGATTTAAGGTTATTGCTTTGAAGAATCTTATGAATACTTTTATACGCTGAAGTGAAAAGTATATTAATTTAAGCTAACTTGTTCGGGCAGTTACGTCACAAAAAAGTCGATGATATAAAGTGATTTAAAATACCCTCTGTTTATCTTATTAATATCCAAGCATAAGACTCACTGTCATTTGATATCGGAATATATCTGAAATGCGAACAAGGCAAAAAGTTGAATTGTGGGGAAATAAAAAAATATATCAGTTTAACTTCATCCAAGATGTTTATATCGTTAACTCTAGCTTCGCGAATAAAAAACTTTATCCCTACGTTGCGGCTTCGAATCCCACAGTGGGACGTGGGAACTGAACCTGCAGAAAAAATCATATAAACCGATGTATAGTTTCTCAGTAGGTACTAGTAGGAACAAATCCCTGGTACATGTAGTTCAATGGCCGTATATACCGAGAATAAGACAAATTTTGCATCTCTCTATCAGCGGGGTCTCGAAACAAGTTTAAATTCTCTAGAGTGACGTTTAACAAGAAACAAACAAACAAAATAACATTATTCGACACTTGCTGGTATTTCAAATTCTACTGCACGTATTATCTTATATTTTCTTAAAATATATGTGTATGCATCATGTACTTAGTATTTTGTAGATATACACTTTTTATCTTTATCTTTTTTGTTGATATAGAATGTAATGCTGGACTTTTTGGGGCAAATTGTGCTGAGGTGTGTGGACATTGTCTGAATTTGGATATGTGTCATCATATAAATGGGTCGTGTATGAGTGGATGCGAGAAGGGATACGAAGGCCAATATTGTAACATGAGTAAAGAGAAACTTATTTAATAATATACTACTGTAATATCAATATACAAATTACCTCATATGATAAACCAGAAGACAATAAAATAAAAAAAATATATATGATTACTTAGTTAACATTTTCCTTCCCTACATGTAGCTTGCCGAGAAGGATACTTTGGGGAGGATTGTGTCAGTAAATGTAATGAGACCTGTAAGGGATGTAACAGAACAAATGGCCTTTGTGACAGCGGTTGTCAGCCAGGTTGGGAAGGTGATTATTGTCATGAAGGTATGTCATTCTTTAATTAAATATATCTTCTTCCTTTGTCGGAATCTATAAGAATAATTTGCATTTTTTTGATAATTTAATCATTTACTTACTTACGTAAATAATTTAATGTAATATGGGAATACTTTTGAAAAATAAAAATGATTTAAGAATCTGTTTACAGCATGTACAGAGGAATACTTTGGAGAAGACTGCATGGAAGAATGTAACACTACATGTAATGGATGTAACAAAACGAACGGTGTGTGTGAGTATGGTTGTCATCCTGGTTGGAAAGGAACGTACTGCCATAAAGGTATAGCATTTTTAATCTATATAACTTTAATCTCTTTTTTTTCATTGTGTTTTATACAGCTGTTTTAAGTTTAACCAAGCTTCATGTTCGAAATCATTCATTTAGCGATGTGACGTACTCATATGTTATTTCTTTGATGTATCTATGGAAAGAGGGAAAAAGGAATAATATTTAGAGTTCATAGAAGCAAAACGTTTTTTTTACTAACAAAAAAAAATAACACATATCAGAATTCCAAGGAAAAAAGTCTATTGAGTTCAGATTAGAATATAAAAGAAGGAACGTGATCCTTTCCCAAAATCATCGGAAAAAGTTTCTTTTTTGGACCTGTTAAAATTACACGTATAACTAAAGATCTATGTACATTTTAAATAAAAAACATTGTTAAAGGAAAGTATAATTTTGATATTAACTATGAATACGCAAATTGAACTATGCTACATTAAGAGAAAATGAAAATTAAAACAATCAAACTTTGATCGTGTCATTTTCTTTTATCTAAAGAATGCGATGGTGGATATTTTGGACTAAATTGTTACACGAAGTGTGGAAACTGTTTGAATTTAGAACAATGCCATCCAGTGAATGGAACATGTATGCATGGCTGTGATGCGGGTTTTGAAGGTCTTCTATGCAACAAAAGTAAAATTTACTTTATTTATGTTTAGGGCATTTTTTAAATATTTTGATGTCTTCAAAGTTCTTTTTTCAATAAGTAGTTCTATAAAGATAATTATTCCGTTCCAGCGTGTGAAGACGGGAAATTTGGTGAAAACTGTCTCAATGTTTGTAATAGTACATGTTATGGATGTAACAGAACAAATGGTGTCTGTGAGAATGGATGTCATCCTGGATGGAAAGGACATTATTGTCATGAAGGTACAATTTTCATACATGCATTATGTACGGTGGGAAATGGAGCGATATTTCTTTTAGAGATGTTGCTCATCATTCACTAACACACGGTTAAGTTATCGATGACATCTTACAGTCTGTGATGAGGGAACATTTGGTAGAAATTGTATGGAGAATTGTAACAGTACATGTTATGGTTGTAACAGAATAAATGGAACATGTGAAACAGGGTGTCATCCAGGATGGAAAGGAGATTACTGTCATAAAGGTAATTATCAATCAGATTTATTTTTCAAGTATTATGCTTTTTGAAATTGTGAATTGTGACAAATATACAAAGAATCAAATGAATCACAACAATATAATTACACATATCTTTCTAATTTCTATTCTTAAGAAATAATGAAAAATAACTGCATTACAGAATGCGATGGGGGATTTTTTGGAACCGAATGCATCAAACCATGTGGAAGCTGTTTAGATTTTGGTCAATGCCACCCAATCAATGGAACCTGCTTGTTTGGTTGTGATGCTGGTTTTGAAGGGGTTTTGTGCAACAAAAGTAAGAAATTCTAAGAATGGTGTATGCTCTTTCATCTTTTTGTAAAAAGAAATATATTGTGATCATTATTTATCAACTGGTATTGAAAGCATTTATATACTTAAACACCTTAAAGCCTGCAGAAATGGAACATTTGGTCGAAACTGTCTTGAGACATGTAACAGTACGTGTTACGGTTGTAATGCAACAAATGGTAAATGTGAAACTGGGTGTCAGACAGGTTGGAAGGGAGACTATTGCCATGAAGGTAACCTCTGCCGATAAAACATAAATCCTGATCTCATATCTTGCTCTATATCAACAATATTTTTAAGTTTATCGGTAAATTGCAAGGTGAACAAATGTATTAAAAAATAAGCATGTACAGATTTTCAAATCAATTGTTTTCAAAGAATAAATTTACCAATGCAATAAAATGAAAAAAAAAATGCTATCATTTTTAAAGTGTACGATACTAACCAGTAGTTTCACAATTTAGTTTATTCTCTCAGATTTTTTTTTGAATAAAAGGCAATACGAATTGGAACAATTTAACAAGCTAAAAACTTTTTATGAACTTTTTTAAAGAATGTGACAACGGTTTCTACGGAGCTGATTGCAGCGACTTTTGTGGAAATTGTTTAGATTCTGAACAATGCCACCCAGTCGACGGAACATGCATAAATGGCTGTGATGATGGTTTTAGAGGGACTTTATGCAACAAAAGTAAGACAAAACTGTAAACATCCACCATTTTTTTTTTATTACAACCACAGTGTTACCAACTAAAGAAATTTCTAGGAAAATATACATTATAATACATCTTACAGCTTGTAAGAACGGAACATTTGGTCGCAACTGTTTAGAGAAGTGTAACAGTACTTGTTATGGATGTAATGGTACAAATGGTAAATGTGAAAACGGATGTTTCCCGGGATGGAAAGGAGAGTATTGTCATGAAGGTAAACTTTGCCAAAAAAAAAAAAACAAAAAAACCGAGGCAATTTAGCAAATTCCTTTGAATGGGTACAAAGTAACTTTTAAATAGAGTTGCATATGTTTTTTTCAAATAATCCCCTTTCTCAAAGAGGAACAACTTCTGCCTTTATTAAAAAAATAATGACTCAATCTAAAAAAAAATTCTAAATAAGTTCAAAGCATGTTGACATTTTTATATTTTTTTCTTAGACTTAATTTGTTGTATACTTTCTCTTCAATCATTGAAGTTATTCATACATGTATGTTGATACATGTATATAATCATACATATGCATGACAAATAGTGTATCAAATATAATTGTATTCCTCAATTTATAGTGTCAGAAAAATACAAGGCAACCCAAAGGATATATAAAAATTCTGATTTTAAACATGCATTTACTACACAAAGGAAGGTGAAAAATATGAAAAGTTATATATTATACAACAGACATGTATTTGTGATCTACATTACAGAATGCGATGGTGGCTTTTATGGATCAGATTGTAACATTAGATGTGGATACTGTTTGAGCATGGAACAATGTAACCCAATCAACGGGACATGTATAAATGGCTGTAATGATGGTTTTCAAGGAGATTTATGCAACTCTTGTGAGAAATATACTTTATTACATATATTTTTTATCTCCTTTTTCGATTATACTTAAGTAATTTTATTCAAATTTCGATTGTGAAACATTTTTATGGCACAAATTTTCATTTTGCAGCCTGTACAATGGGAGCATTTGGACGCAACTGTCTAGAAACATGTAATTCTACGTGTTATGGATGTAACACGACCAATGGTAAATGTGAAACTGGGTGTCATCCTGGCTGGAAAGGGGATTATTGCCATATAGGTCAGTTTTGCTTACATACATATAATTGCCGTGATTCAATTCATTTTATAGTTCTCGATTTCTTGACCGTCTCGACTATATTTTTTTAATTATGCAGGGTGAGGATGATGCCTAATTAAAAGAAAATTCATATTTGGATTATCCTTTTATTACTTTTCAGACATCAAGTGTAAATTTAGAGCTTCTTATCAGATATTTAGTAAAGTTCAAACATATACAAAAAATTACATATATAAAAAACGATAAGGGTAACCTTAATATAACTTATTAACATTAACATATGTCAACGCTTTCTTTGCTGTTGATGTAAAATTTAATAAAATTTATAAACAAATCCTGAAGAACCGCAGATTGTTTTATAATTCCTTAAATGAAAATGCTCAATCTCATAAAAAAAATTGTTGAATATATCTACATGTATATATCTGTATTTCTTTTAATCATTTACAGTAATTCTTTTCTTCAATTCATTTTTACATATCTCACTCCATGCTGCTAATGTATAAGAAAATTTCATGGTTGTCTCTTTTCTTCAGCACCTGTCACTGATAGCAGCATTCGCTAAATCATTTATATAACTAAATTTTCCTTGTATTTATGTTTATGTAAAGTGCATTCTTGAAGCGCTTATTCAAATCTACCCATACATTCTGAAATATTCATCACCAACCAAATATCGTTACTGGAAATATAAAAAAAAAAACAAATAAGACAATAATATGTATTAAACAAGTTGCACATTATTAACAAATTTAATATATATTTTGTAGAGTGCGGCGGTGGGTATTTTGGTAAAAACTGTAAAATGAAATGTGGACATTGTCTGAATGATGCCCAGTGTTACCATGTAAATGGATCATGCTTAAACGGTTGTGCACCAGGCTACAACGGAACACAGTGCACTGAAGGTGACAGTTTTGAACATAACTGGATCTTATTACAATTGTCGATTTGTCGATAGGGAGATAACATTTAAATGCGATTTTTTCTGAATGCTTATCATTACCAATATTTTTTGTTCATTTTTATTAGTATTATTTACTGTGAAACATATTTCGAAAATATGAAATTTCTCAAGTATCTTTTTTCTTTTGAATTGAAGTCTGCAGTAAAGGGTTTTTTGGACTTAACTGCGTACAAGAATGCTACTTTTGTACAGAAAGTACCTGTTGGTCACATAACGGAACTTGTGTTTTGGTATGTTCTCAAAATGTCATTTTATTTGCTTTTTAAACCAAAAGGAGTAAAATTTCAACATAATAATTTTCATTCTTCAGGGGTTAGGGGTATAAAAAATGTTGCAATCGCATTTCAAATATTTTATTTGATTCATGATAAGAAAGCTTCTCAAAGCATTCTCAGATGGATGGTATTTTAAAGTATCTTTGTCATATTTGTAGTTTATATCACTTTATTCCATTGCTTTTTTGTTAAGTACTGCTTAATACATGTATGTTGGTTTTGAATATTTAAAGGATTAAAATATGTACATGTTTACATGTATGCATCATCTTAAACAGGGGTTAAAACAAGCCTTGGAAGAAGATAGCTCACAGATAGTGGGAGGAGCTGTGGGAGCTGTTGTCTTTGTGCTGGTAGTAGCTATGGCACTCATATTGTTTATTTTTGTGAGGAGGTAATAATCTATTTTTCTCAATTTTTTTCTCTCATTATCTCTCCTTTTAAATGAACATTTTATTCTGGAAGAAACTCGTCTATCTTTTAACCTTATTTCCTCAAAGCGAAACAAACATTGTAATTTTTATGTTACAACATAATCGTTATTCGCATTGTTTCTGGGGGAAAAGCGTGAGATGATTTAATGCCTATATTATTATAAAAATATTTTTCACTTCACAATTTAGATTTAACAACATTCATTATTTAGGAAAGAGAACCAGCATGTAATGATTTTTTTTTCCTCACAGAAAGAACACATTGTATGAAAATTGCAAGCATTTGAATTTCATTATTTCAAAATCTCACTTTTAAGAAGGTACAGGAAGCCAGATACACAAAGAAAAAACTCACGACTTCTACCAGGTAAGTACTTACGGCAAAATATAAACAAAACTATATGTAGTATATTAAGAGATTTAAAGCTGCCAACTATAGGTAATTTTATATCTGTAAACTTTAATATAAATAATAGTTTTTTGTTAAGTTTTACTTATCGGTTTCCAAAATGTAGAAAACACTGGAGAGCACCAGATTAATAATGTATACACGAATTCAAATGCTGTGCACGAATTGAGAAAGAAAGGAGGTCAAACGTACAACTCAGCTGACGAATTAAAAATGGAGCAATTGATACCTAATGGAGAAGAAAAAGAAGATATCCGTGGGGACATGGATGACTTATATGTGAACCAACTTAGCTTTTCTCAAATTTCCATTGATCAGTTGGGAGCAGTTATAGCTGAAAAGAGTGAAAATGAGAACGAAGGATTTCGGAAAGAATATACAGTGTGTTTTATTTTTTTTTATTATTATTATTGATGTATTTCATTTTAAAGGGCATGTACATATTTTGTATTTTTTTTATACCTAAATAATTCAGTACAAAAGTAGATCCAGTCAAAAATAAATGATTGTATCAAAACAACCTTTCAAGTAAAAAACTTTTCATAAACAAATTCTTTTAAAGTTGATTTTAAAGATACCAATAATGCAATTGTTAATAAGCTATGAAATTTCGAATACGAGGGCTGTTCAATAAATAATGTCTTAGGTGCTCGGAAAGAAGCAAAAGACGCTTTTCAATGATTTAGTCTTCATGATTTAACTTATTAATCTCTTTTAATTAAAACACATGCCCCAAAGATTTTTTATCCAATGTCTGAGTGTTTTTAGAACTCAGTTTTGGGTATGACACTTAGTATACTAGAAAAATGGCAGATCCAATGATTTTCTGGACTTGTTTCTTCCTTCTAAAAGGTGTTTTTTTTCAAGTTTGGAAATAGAATCAAGTCAACAGGTCAAAGATTTGGCGAATATTGTTAATGTGAAAAAACATTAAATTTCTCTTTATCCCAAAAAACCCATATACTCTTGAGGGCGTGCGGATTTGGTCGCTGTAATGAAGAAAATTAATGTTGTGGCTTCTTGATTCTGGGTCCTTCCTCCCATTAACCTTTCGATTGTTTTGCAAAAGATTTGCTTTCTAGCTTCCTCTAGAAATTAAACTGTCTCCGCGAATACTAATATTTTAAGAAATTGGATATAAATCTGTCTCTGTGCTCTTGCAATTCTCTGCTCTTGTCAGACCTTCGCTGGTTTAATCAAGTACATCATATTATGGTAAATTTTGTTTTGAGGGTTTAAAGCAATAGATTCAAGTTCAATTATCTCTTTGAATATCACAAAAACGTGGATAACTACAACTACTGATATTTTTAAACCATTGTTAAGACATTTGTACACGCTATCGTTTTCACTCATTTTTCAAAATATAGGGTGACCTTATAGTACTAAGCTTTTTTACCGTCAAACGTTTCTTAAAAACAGTGTAAACTACCCCCGAAATGATGTCTATTGAATTTGCTAAGTGTCTTAAATTCAATCATACATTATCAAATATTGTTTTTTTGAAATTTGGCAAACAGTACATAAGTTTTTATAATATTTTGGCAAGGACAATATCCATATTTAATTTTTTATCATTAAAATCCACCTGCTAATTTGTCTATAAAATAGGCTTTGGTTGCTGTAAATGTTACATATTTCAGTGAATATTTCTTTGGGATTTTTAACAAGTTTTACAGCAGCTTTAATGAAGCTTTTATTTTCACTCTAGTTTACTTCTTTTTTACCATTCATTTATAACACAGTGTCTCGAATAATAAAACTATGTGATGAAAAGTGGACACATTGACTGTTATAAATTTATTTAAGATTAAATAATGAGAGAAGGTCAAGCTTAATGTCATATGATATCTGTATTATATGTCATACAGTTCAGGACATTATTTATTGAACAGCACTCGTAAGCTAATATGTGGTATTTTTTCCATTAACATCAAATATATCATATTGTTAAGGATAGATAGCTAATGGTTTTTGAATAATAAAATTGATTGCAATTTAAGGCCTTTCCATCTGGCGCAATACATAAATGTGATGAAGGGAAAAGAACCGAAAATGTTCCAAAGAACAGATTCAAAACAACATTTCCTTGTAAGTTTTTGTTTTTGTTATTGTTGATTTTAATTTAGGGGAGAGGGGTCCAAATATTTTACTGTCTGACTCAATGTAACTTGTAGCGTTAATAATCCAAAATATATAATTAAACAAATAGCATGGTATGTTACAACGCACTTTGTAAAATTACGCACTTTGAAAATTTTTTTCAAAGTGCGTTAAATTTGGGACCAAGTCAACGCACTTTGAAAAAAAATAAAATTTCTTTTCAAAGTGCGTTAATATCGACCATATTAACGCACTTTGAAAAAATGTGTATGGCTTGGTCAATATTTCAAATCTTAGGTATGATAAATAATTGAACCTGTTTGATAACTCTTCCGTGATGAGGTCACGTCAGGATGTGCAAGTGAAGATTATGATTTTTCCATACTTTGAAAATTCTTTCTCTCTTAAATGTTTTACTGTACTTATTTTTTTCCAGTTTCCATGCATTTAATGTAAACAAAAATTCATTGAAAGTTTTCAACGTCATACCAGTTATATTTGGGTGTAGCATAGGCATCGGTACTGGGATGGGGGCTTAGGCACACAAAAGTTTTGCAAAGATATATATAATATAAGCATTGAAAAATTGGGGCTTACCTTGGGGGGTTTCAATTTGCTACAGACGGATATGTACAATGTTTAAGGAAAAAAAGAGTATGGCTGAGGGACCTTCTACTTGTCTTCTCCTTGTTCTCAATGACGTTAAATGAGTACATGTAATTTAAAAAGTTTATCAAAATATATAATTATTACAAATTGATTCTGTCAATTACTAAAATCTAAGTGTAGAAATTTTTGATTTATACATTTCTTTTTTCAAAGTGAGTTAAATGTCCCCATTGTAAAGAAAATGTTTATGTACACTCTTAACGTATTTTGAATTTTTTTTTCAAAGTGCGTTGAGTGTTGCCCAAAGTTAACGCACTTTGAAAAAAAAATTTCAAAGTGCGTTGATTTCCTCCCGATTCTAACGTACTTTGAAATTTTTTTTCAAAGTGCGTAAATTTTTCAAAGTGCATTGCCACAATGGTATCAAATAATGAAAAAAATATACCTATTAACTTTTTTTCAACTTTTATGCAAGACGATTACTTCTAGAACATCATTTAGCTGATAGTTATCATTGTTTAAAACAACAAAGAAACTAAAACTGAAATCGACTCAGTTAAGTCATCTGCTTAACATTGATGGTTTTGTTCAAAACGCAGTCATTTGTTTTATTAGATGATCATTCTAGAGTCATATTAAGAAGACAGGATGAGAATTTATCAGATTACATTAATGCAAATTATATTGACGTAAGTAACAAAATTCTTTTGAGCAACTTGTTCTTGAATGTAATTTTAATATTAAGAATTTGCAAATTTTGAAATGAAGTAAAACGTTTTTTTTTTTTCTTTTTCCATTTTTATTGGGTCATCTAGGGACCAAATCGGAAGAAAGAATATATTGCTGCCCAAGGTAACATATTAAATGATTCTTCCACTTTTTCGAAGGGTTTCCGTTTCCACGATCATTAACTTGAATAATATTCTACATTTGAAGGTCCAAAACAGAATACTCTAGGGGACTTCTGGGCAATGCTTTGGCAAGAGAATATAACAACTGTTGTAATGTTAACCAATCTGCGAGAAGGGGAAAAAGTAGGCTTTTTTTACATTATTCTATCAAAAAAGTTTTAACGAAAATCTGCGTTGCAATCCTGCTCTTAAATGCCGAATCCACCCGTTGCTTGATACATGTACCTGTATGTAGTGATTTAAAAGCATTATCAAAAAGTATTGCTTTTTGATAACAAGCTACATAGAAAATGAATAATATATAATGTGTTATTTGGTCACAATTTTAAAGGATAAAGATGGATGAAAACACCTTTTTCCCCTTTTTATGAAACGTGTTTTTAAACATTTCATTAAATAATATAGAATATATAAAATGAAATTTTAGTGAAAATAAGTCTATTTTGGTAAAAAATATTATATCTCTTTATATATTCTATACTTTATTAAGATTAAGTGTACTCAGTACTGGCCTGATAAGGACAAACACATTAACTACGGGACTGTCTCTGTGAAATGGATGGAAGAACGAGAGTACGCTTTCTTTGTTACCCGGAAATTAAAAGTCATCAATAAAGAGGTATGTCGCTGTTTTTCCTATGCCTGCTGTGATCTCCTAATATCAGATGAATTTTCTCTACAATAGTGAATGCATTTTTCTGCCCAATCCATGTGGAGTACTGTAAAACACTACATGTAAGAAAATTTGTATAGTATATATTTTTTTTAAATAATCAATCAAAGATTGTGTTTTGTTAATGGGCTTTCCCTGTTTGATTGAAGAAGATAGAATACCTCTATATATTTTTTTTAATATATGAACATCATATTCAGTTTGTGCATTAAGTATTGAGAGTAAAACTCTCATCGTTTTATTTGTAACTCCGACATTTTTCTCTGCAAAAAAAAAAAAAAATACAGTCCGTCTTAATTAAAAGGAAAATATGGTATCTTTTGAGTTTATTCCCTAGCAATTAGAATTCCGAGTATTGTAAAATTTTCATAACTGTGCTAAACATCCCTTGTTTCAAAATGGCATTTAAATCATCTTTATGGTATGGCACTTAACTTAAGACATTTCAAAGATATCTTGCAATGATGCTAATGTTTTTATATAAAAATGTAGTTTTTAAGGTTAAGCTTCATGTTTTTGTTCACCAAGAGCTGTATTTTTTTCCGAAAATTTTAAGGATAAAATTTTAAGGAATCAGAGTAGTCACCTACTCATCTGAAGAAATTGGTGTGAAAAAATATCTGTTTACATTTTCTGTGCTATTTCATATGCTAAAATTTCAATCTTTGAGAATTTTTTTTTTCAACAAGTAAACATTTTAACCATAGTTTACTTAATATAAGATGAAATACAAAGGGAAATTTTGATGAACATTTTACTTGACAATTGATTTTTTTAACACTGTAGACATTCCTGTCGCCTTGTTCATCTGTCTTCCTTTTATAGTTCCGTTATTGTTTTCTATTTGAATAAAAGGATATTATAAAAGATTACAAAATGAGATGAGTTTGTGAGACACTATGTGCCCCGGGCAACAAAGAAAAAAAAACTATTTAGCATATATGTCACAGGGAAGGCCACAAGCTCATTAACCTTGAAGACATTTGAAAGAACTTGATTACTGAAGTATGCATACCAAAAATGAAGTCTCTAATTTCTATGGTTCAAAGATATGGCGAAAGTTCGAAAAGGGTATTTTAACATATAGGTCACAGTCAAAGTCACAAGGTCATTGACCTTGGTGTCATTTGAAGGAACCTAATTAGTGAAGTATACATACTAAATATAAAGTTTGCATCTCTTATGGTTCAAAAATTATGGCAAAAGTTCGAAAAAGCTATTTTTAACACATATGTCACAGTCAGGGTTACAAAGTCATTGACCTTAGTGTCATTTGAAAGAACTGAATTAGTGGAGTCTGCATACCAAAAATTAAGTATCTATCTTTCATGGTTCAAAAATTATAACGAAGGTTAAAGTTGACAACAGACAGATAGACAAACAGATAAACAGACAGACAGGACAAAAACAATAACGCCTCGGATCTATCGATCCAGGCGCATAATAAGTTAAAACTTATCATGGATGTCATTCTTCAACAGATGAAGAAGTCACGTGTTCTGACACATTATCACTACACCGCCTGGCCCGACCACGGAACTCCTGATCCACTGTGTTTAATCATATTCCATAACCACGTGATCCGAACACAATCCAATCAGAAAAATGCACCGACTGTTGTTCATTGCAGGTATTTATCGAAATTATGTGTGCTATGCCTCTTGAAACCTTTCCACTTTAATCTTTGAAACAACATTCTTGTCATAAATGTTTGCAAATGAAAAGAATATCAACATGTATGTCATTCATTCTATGGAAATAATCTTGAAATGCTGATTTTTTTCTTCAAAATTGTGTTTCATTGCACATAAGAAAAATGAATCCAAAATATCACACATTTTCCCCAAAACGCATTTAGAAATAGCATGATGTTTAAGAACTGACCTTTATTAAAAACAGTTTAAGTTTTATCCATCAAAAATTCTGACGAGAAAGATTTTTTTGGGGTGGTTTAAAATTAAAACGACCTGTTATGTATATATTTTTAATAGCGCGGGAGTTGGTAGAACGGGAACATATATAGCGTTGGACATACTTCACCAGATGGGAACCAAAACAGGAAAAGTCAATGTGGCTGAGTGTGTCAGGAAAATGCGGGAAAACAGAATGACCATGGTGCAGACCTATGTAAGTTATACATATCAAAATGTTTTGATCAACCCTGAAGGGAGGATTAATCTAAGCTAACTTTCAGAATACACTCTTTTCTAGTACTCATTGTTGTTACATCACATTTTTAACTGAGAAAGTTATCAAAATTGTGTGTTACATTGTATTTTTGCATTATTTGTCTTACCATGCATGAATAATATATTTAAAAAAATTGTAACTTTAATTAATAAAAAAAAACTGATTGAACAAAATTGATTGAACAAAGCTACTTGTTGATCATAGGCTTACTCGTGCAAAGTTTACAGCTCGATTGTACGTGTACATATTTATATAGTTCTATTGATACTCTCATTTTATGTTTTTTCTGTTGATACTCTTATTTTGGTTACGTTAAATTATGCTACAGGAACAGTACATCACAATATTTCTGACTTTACAAGAAGACTTCAAAGCACCAATGAAGGTAGACAGCATAGAAAATATCAAGGAGAAAATAGAAAACACAGGGAAAGACACGCCTATGAATCAAGACATTCTTCGTAAGGAATTTCAGGTAACGAATCATACACAAAGAGCCATTTTTTATTATAATAAAAATCAGGCTTGTAATATATATGCTTATGCTACAGAAAATTAAAAAATCCTATGAAAGTATTTACGCCATTCTTATTGTTGTTATTTAGAGTAGATGATACATATAATATGCTCATATTGTAGTTTGACTGCTATATTTGATATTGAGTTACAGAATTCATACCTTATTTGATCAATACACAAGGTATGCTAGGCACCTTGCACCACCCCTGGAAGATCCAATGGGTCTTGCTAAATGTCATGATCACATCTAAGACATTTTAATTGAGATGATTAAAATATTCTATAAATAAGATTAAATTATTTAAAAAAATATAATTCTATTTTTTTACTAATATGTTTCAATTTAATAACCCATTTTTTTCTCTCGAAAACATTTTTTAAACCATTTGACAATGTTTGGCAACTGTTACTGCATAAAAACACACTACAATATTAAAAATAATCTTTTGCAAGACAATAACTATATTTATTTATGCATCATTATTTTCTTTTTAAGTATTACTTTTTTCTTGTAGCTCCTGCATAAAATAAGCCCTGTTTATACTGAGGCAGACTATAAGTTTTCAAAGCAGAGTAGTGCCCATAAGAATAATGATGATGAGATTCTCCCTCGTAAGTGTTTCATTTCTAACGGTTCTGTTTAAGAAGTCAATGAATTTTTTGTGCACATTTTTGGGATTGTATTTATTTCAGTTTTTATGCATAGCTTAAGCTTCATTCGAATAGTTTAAATTTAAGAGTAAATGCAAAAACAACAACAAAAAAGATAAACAATAACAAAAAAGGGAAACGTGAAAGGTATTCCATTAATTAAAAAAAAATATTCAAAGGGACCAGAAAATGATATTTATTTGCTAAATATATAAGTGAACTAAGAAAAAGGTTTTTTAACTTCATTTATGTTTTACACATACCTGTTTCTCTTTTATTCCATCAGTTGATAAATACAATGTCCACCTATCATCCTACGTCCCAAAGAGGGGAAGTTACATTAATGCAATCTCAGTGCCTGTAAGTTAATTTTATTTCAATAATCGATTCTCTGTGACACATATTATAATTTTTTATGTAAAGGATATATTTCAAATCTTTGGGTGACATTTTCTAATGTTGATGAATTTTGTAATATATATATTAAATATGTCATCTAAATCTACCAACCTTCAGACACTAGCCACAAGGTATTTAATGAAATGTGTCTTTAATGACGGGTTAATAAAGAAACGTTTTACGTGTACGTACAGTTTATACTGAGAACAAAATCAGTATTAAGGATTTTTGAGAGTCATTGCACGTATGGTGGATATTCAATGGCATGTACTGAAAAAAAAAAACTATTAAAATTTATTCTTTTGTACGATTATTGCATTAAATTGCATTTTCATTATATGAAAATTGAAATAAAAAAATCTTTCAGTCATTCACCAAGCCGACAGGATTTATAGTAACGTCATACCCTGCGACAGAAGACGCAGTAGATTTTCTACGTCTGTTGAATGACCATGAATGTGACACAGTCATCTGTATGGATCCATTGGCAGGAATTCAGTCAGTATGTATCAACCAATACAACATGATTGGAAAAAAAATCCATACTTATCTTCAGTATCTATACATACACATGTATATTTGTAATTTTTCTTTGTTTTTTTGTTTGTTTTTGTTTTTTTTTTTTTATTTTTTTTTTGGGGAGGGAGTGAAGAATTTTCTCTTAAATTTTGATATCGTGAAATATTTCTTTTCAATAGCCTTCAACTGATCCAAAAAAAATCATTATCATAATAAGAATAATTATAACAATAATAATATTGATAATAATGTGTGTACATTTTAAGACCAAGGAATGGTTCCCGCCTACTTCGTCATCCAAATTTGTTCCTCCGTTTATGGTTTACTCTCAGTCACATTCTAAAACAGATGTCTCCAGCAGCACCATTCAGATTGTTCATGATAAAGTGAGTTGATTAGGTACTACATGTAATTTGTGTAATATCTTACTTGTAGCAGTGAATTAAACGCTAAAAGTAGCAAAGTTAAGAGATACAACTTATATAGCTGTTCAGAATGTCAATTCAATATGTTGTCTTATGACAGGACACTCGTGTGACGTTGTCTTGTGTTACAATTGGTCCTCTGAAGACAAAACTAGTCTATTATAAGCAAAAGTGTTCTTCAAATTAAAATAAAGATATTTATCTTACACCGTGGAATGTGCTATATTCCGGATACAAATTGTATAATTGCTGCCTAGATTGACAAAGTTGTTGAATGTTGCATATATGTATTGGAGGTGTACTTTCAAATATCTCGTATCTAGTTTTCAGGGTTATTCAAGACACACATTGCACTTTTTCTCTGATAAACACAGGTGTCGTCTATATTGATCAAACATATAAATGCTCAACTTTGTTCTTTGTAAATTGTTCTAAGTATGAAGGAAGGAATTCATAATCTCTGGCATTTCATTTCTTGCATGAACTTGCAAGGTATAAAATTTTATTTAAGGTTTTGTGATGCAATTTGACAAGCAAGATTTACTCATTTGACTAGTAATTGCATCATTTTCTTTTTTATAAAAAAAACATGCATGTATTTATAATTGATATAATTTTTTTATCATTGAATCTTTAGAAAGAGGATGAGGCACACATTGTTAGGATTGTAGAACCAACGGATAGAATAAAATCTTCTGGAGATTTATTGGACACGTCACAACTTCGGAATCTTGTGTCAGCAGCTCTTAACACCGATTCTGAAAATCCAATAGTTGTGATGAGCAGGTAAATGATTAATATTAGAAAGGAAAATTCTTATATTCTTTATCCTTTTATTAAATAAGAATCGGTGCTTACATTCATGTCACAATGTATTTATCTACGCCGCTCAGAATTAGAAGGGCTATACTGTTTTACCCTTGTGTGTCTACCCGTCTGTCTGTCTCTCTGTCTGTAATGTGCCCGTCCTTAATAAGGTTTTCTCTCAGCAACTACTCATAACAGATGTTTGAAATTTAAGTACATTATTCAAATATATTTTTTTTAAATCCGATGTTATGCATAATGTCTGTCCATATCATACATGACAAATTTTAGTTGCAATTTTCCAAACCAACTTTTTTGCAGATGGTTCAAATTTTAGCACTTTTAAGCATATTCTTCAGCTTGAGCATGTCAAATAGTGGTAAATGTAATGTCAACTTTTTGTTTGTTTGTGCGTCCGTCTGTACCACTCACATAGCAAATTTTCGTCAAAGTTTTCTTACCAACTACACAATGCTGATCCTTGCTGATCCAACTTTCTGTTTTTCAATGCTTCTGCCCGTAGCCGACTTATGTATGTTAAAATAATAATTATATTCACATCAGAGCGAGGGTATTTCTAGTGAGCATTGCAATTGGCTCTTTTCATTTCTGTGCAATTTTCTTTTGGTTTTCACATGTAATCATTGCTACAAATGACATGCTTAGTATAGTGATCAGAATGCTCGCACTCTCCTATATATTTTAATTTTTCAAGTATCTAGAACCTGAATAGTGATCGTGAATGTTTCAATATTGAGATAGTTGTTAGTCACAAAATCCCTCTCTCTAAATTTTTCAGTTGATGGGAGCATTCCTGAAGAAAAAATTGCCAATTCTTTCTTCTTAAAACTAAATATTTGCATATACACTATGAAATGATGAATAAATTTTAAATATTTGATTTTTATTTTATGTAATCAGGGTGCCATACTGCAGCAATTATTTAATTAAACAAAGTTACAAATTAAGAAAAGAAATAAATGAAAAAAGCATGAAAAAAATATGATAGCTGCTTTAAGAAAAACCTAGAACATATTTTTATCTTCACCCCTTAGTTATGTAAATAGGGATTTCTATTTTACTAGCTCATCGCCTTCTTAAACAGATATTTTATTTTCGATTTTTACTTTTGATACAGAGACGGTGCTTCCTTATGTGGGATCTTTTGTGCAATACACAATGTTTTGGAACAAATTACTTTAGATGAATGTGCTGATATTTTCACTGCTGTGAGGCAAATTCTAATTAGAAGACCAGAACTTTGCACCAAAATAGTAAGAAACCCTATCCATATTTCTGATGACATGAATGTTATCTGCGTATACTGTTTTACCTTAACCTGATAATTTTTCAATATTGATTATATGTCAATTTGCAGATTCAATTGTACACGAAAGAAATGTAAAAAAAGATAATAGACAATTGTCCAATTTAAGCATATTTTTAAGCTAATATACGCTATTACATGGTGATTGGAACACAACAATCATAAAAAAATATATAAACATTATTCATATCTGCTCAAAATTGATATACATAAGAAAAATATTATATTGAATTACTCATATGTTCAAATTGTGTTTTATGTTTTTTGCAGGAGGAATACAAACTGATTTACAAAGCTGTGAATGATCATTTACAGAGTTCCTCAGAAAACATTTACTTCAACCAATAACGTTTTGTTGTATTGAATTGATGGGGTGGAGGTGGCTTAAAATAATATGAAGCTATCCAACACACATGTACTTTTCACGGTGTAATAAAAGAAACTGGAAAATGACGCTATCTGGACGACCGGGTCCAGAAATTTTAACCGCGCACGATTTTCATTGGGCGTTTACTAAATGTTTCCATTTCCAAGAATCGTTTGCATCTTCCTCTCCTAATTTGAACACGCCAAAAACGTTCCGAGGATAATGCAAGCGCGATAACTCTTACATGCAGAGCATTCCAATGTACATAGAATATTTTAAGTAAAACTTAAAATTCATTTATGTACAATTGCCAATGCATATTTATTTTGACATGATAACTAATTTGTGAAACTTTTCGTTCATTAATATTTTCGTTTACTGTCGAGAACCCAACTCACAGTTATTGTAATATCGCAAAATTTGAAGAAACCGCCTTCACTCTCCATTCTCATAAAGATTCAAGACATTTAAGTATGCTGCACTTTGCCACAAATGTGACTTTAATTATAGAAAATATTTGTAATTAATTATGTGATAATTGATCATGAAATCTATAAAATTATTAATAAACGACTTATTATCTGTATCAAAATTCACAAACAGAATGATGCGAATTATGAATATGATTAATATGTAAATCGTGATTACATAATATATGGCGTAATTGATACATAATATATCAAACATTCTTGTGGTCTGAAACCACCATGTACTTGATTAAAGAACTTTATTCGGTAATAACCAATATTTGCCCCCCAAATCAAACTTTGATGGAGATATATTTAATTAATTTCTTAAACAGGGGAGTAAATGCTGACTTCAAAGCACTGAATATTTTCATAAGTAATGACGTCATATGTATATATTGACGTCACAAACATGACGTAAATTTCAGTTTTTTATTAATTTTACAGAAAAATGTACATATTTCGTCGATTTTTTGAGTAAAAGTCACTGAGCACATGTGTGTTCAGGATCAATATTTTGATATACATGTTATGTGTAGAATTCGAATGATAATTACAATGAAATATGTCAATATTGTTCCTGAACAAACTTGCGCTCTATGAATTTTAAAGCTAAAATTGTTGAAATTTTGTCCATTTTGTCCTCTCTCTGAAAAAAGGATATAAAATCGGACTAGTTTGTGACGTCATAAAAACAAAATTTGTGAATACACTGTTTTGAAACTATAATATTTTCTGTTAATTTATATTTCTCATAAAATTTATTGAATACAGCACATTTCAGGAAGTTTTCAAAATTTGACTTTTGTGGGGGCAAATATATGCAATATACCGCATATAGTTCTTTATACTTTAAATAAGTCTTTACCATCAAATTGCAGCTCATTCTACGCTACGCGGCTAGAATGAGGTTGTCGGAGAAAAATATCAACAGTTCAAACTGTATTACTTCTCTGAACATTCTAGCATGACGCCATAATAGTACATGACATCAATTCCTTGCATACCTGACCTAAAATGTCATGGAGTGCGTCATATTGTTTTCATGCCTTCTTGCATAGCATGCAGATTTTTTTTTTTTGCATTGTCGTATAATTCACGTATCTGGATTGTTTTAAAGCTTCGGTCTGATTTTATGATGTTGATTACTTTAAATTAAGCTTTTTTCCTTTGCCAATATGCACATATTCAAACAATTGCAAGAAAAAAAATGTGAAACCCTCCCTTAACAGGTTCGTATCTAGAGAGCTTTAGAATTTAAAAAAAAATGTTTGTTTTCATTTGAAGATTTGGTTATTTCAATTCATTGAAGTTGTGAAAATTAGAAAAAAGTTCAATACAGTCTGATATATTTTTTTGAAAATCTGAAGAAAGTTATGGGTTTTAAGTTTGATTACCACTTATAGAGTGTATTTCTAAACCCTCCAAAGTACAAATAAAAAGAATAAGTAGTAGTTACCCCATATCACACTGTTGGTTATGTGTAGATACCCGATGGGCGTGGTCATAATGACACGAAGGAGCATAGCTCCCGAGTTGTCATTATGACCACGCCCATCGGGTATCTACACATAATCAACAGTGTGATATGGGGTAAATGACTTGTACCATAATTTTCAAAAATCATTCATACGTAAGTCAGCTTAGGAATCGGTCGGACTGGCTCGCTTGATTGAAACATTAAGTGTTTGGTTTCAAAGATGCATTTGGATTTTATATGATTTTATGCTCCTTCATGTCCTTCTGACCACGTCCATCGAATATAGGGTAAGTGATTTGTATACAATACTTTTCAAATTTTGCAAAAATTTTGCCCAATACTCGGCACTCAGGGTCATTGAGCAGTGAGAGATATATATATATAGGTATATATATATATATATATATATATATATATATATATATATATATATATATATATATATATATATATATATATAAGTTAGATTTATTATGAACTTGGTTTAACTTAAATTTTTGTAGACCTGATACAAACTTTGCCGTGCACAGTGGTACATTGATTGAAATGTTTGTTTGGAGTATATGTATATTTCAATTTAATGAAAATTAAATCTTTGATCGGCTAGATCCGCAATCGAAAAGGGCATTTAAGTACAGTAGTGTACACTTGTTTTTACGCCAAGTATGTACCGTGTTTCCTTTGTTGGTTATCAAAAGAACGATATATTGGAATCTATTCTATTAAGCTAACGTCACCCTGGTCATTACACTATTCAAAAAATGTTTTTAAAGATTCAAGCGATTTCTGAATTTTATTTTCTTCACTTTTAACTAAAGTTAAAATATTAATGTCCGTTTTTAATTGTTATTAATTACAAAATGTTGTATACAATTGAAATGTTTTACTACTTTTTACTCTCCTAAATTTGGTATAACAAGCCCGTATTACTGTTTCATTTAAAAACCGTGATCGTTTTATATATAGTTCTTTTGTCCCAACTCGATGGGCGGAATTATAGAAAAGTGTGGGTTATGTACAGAAAACCCACACTTTTAACAAAGAATTCGCACCTAACTATGGTACAACATACATTGTATCACTTTTCCTGTTATTTGTTAATGTTTATCCAATGTTTTCTTTACAAATTTGTCGCTGGAGATAAGTTTTTCATACATGCAAAAAATATCAAACTTTTCATTTTCAGCAGTGAATGATTTTATATGGCAGCGTGTCACTAGCATGAAGTCATTAAAGGAAATGAAAAGAGAACCTTTATCAATTATGCTTTGAGAAATATATTTCATGATAAATTGTTTTCAGTTCAGCTTATTAATCGTTTCAAAATAAAAGATATATCCTTTATCCCGGGCGTGTCTCCCTAAATCTATCTATACATGCTAGACTTTACAGACATGTTTGGGAAAGATTTGAATAAAGTTACGAAACGAAATTCTCGTAATATAATGGTTTGTAATAATTTCCGGTTACTAAAAAAATAGAGATCAAAAGGTTCCTTAATTTTTGGATTATGTGTCAATAAAAACCGAATTTCAATATGGAAAACTATTGTGTTCAGATGGGGCCACTCGCACTTTTGCACTCTCGCCTTAAGGGCGAAAATGCAAGAGTACGAAGTTGCAAAAGCGAGAGTGCGAAGATGTGATGGCAAAGCGAGAAAGTGCGTGGGCAAAAGTGCAAAGGGACGAAGTGAAGGGGGGGTAAACTAGTACATGTTTACTTTGTGTTTTTACTCTCGCACCTTTGCACTTTCGCCTTCGAATTTTTAAGTTAAAATGTTTGTTCGTGCTTTGAATATTATATTTACTGTATCATTGACACTCTTCTAAGAGAAAAAATCCCGTAGATATTTGCTTTTTTCAATTGGAATATTTTTCTTTTCTTCATATAATGTAAACTGGATCAGTCAAATGTTTTGAGAGAAGATTCTTTGAAGCATTGTTCCTTAATCAGTTTTATTCTTGCGAGGAAACTTACCCCATTACGTTTTGCTCTCTATATATTTTTTGTAAATATAAATTCAAATGTTATGATCAGTTACAAAACACGCCCTCTGAAAGCCATCGGGCCTCCATAGCAACATTGCCAAAAATAATATTCCGTGGATTTTATCAGTTTTATCCAAATATGTTTTATGCTACTATCCACACTTTTTTAAAACTAAATGCTCGACGCTTGCTGATTTTGACTCTTAAAAAAATATTATCTATGCATTGACACATATAGCAACTATATTTTAATGCTGGGAATCTCGAGATGGCTACTACTAATTTCAGTGCGATTTTAATTCAAAACACGTTGTTTAGGTTTACCCATTCAGAGGTTATTTGGTTGAACTGGTTGTATGAATAGAATGGACAGTAAACAGAGAATTTCTATAGTCTGTTTCTTTTGAAAACATGTTCTATGAAAAAATTGTTTCTGAACCTTTCTGAAGGATTTTCATGATCTTAAATAAAAAAAAAAAATGGGAGTGTTCAGTTACAATGCACTTTACAAATGCACTCCTTGCTTTTGAGATAAATTACATTGAAAATTTGAGGTCACCACTGACACTTGTGTAAAAAAATTTCCAAAATCGTTAATATACTAATAGAATCTCTTCGACACTGACAAACATTTGTTTACCTTATATGGTCATTGTTATTTACTCGCACAGTGAATATCACCACGAACGATATTAAAAAAAATGAATGATAAGCAATGTTTACGCCCAGTACATCTTGACATTTTACTTGACATTTTACTTCAAACACGTGATTCAGTTCAATATATGATCGATATTAATAAAGGGACTGCCAAAAAACACTGTTGTTGTTTAAAGATAAAATAAAGATTAAAATCTTTGAAAAATGTCATAGGCATTTGTAATTTGTTGTCTACTATGAATTATGTTTAATGGTCAAATGAAGTTTATGATATGTCCAAAACACCAACCCATTAATGGTTAGGAAAACGGTCACTATCTCAATTGCATATTAATAAAATGGACAATGAATTTATATTTTCATAACAATACCCGTAATGACGTGCTTTTGACAGGGAATCCACCTGACAATCATATTTATAAAAGGAAAACCATTCGAAGGAAAATCTCTCTGCACGTTGTCACGTTTATTTAACAAATGAATTGTGTGTAATTGTGAGCATGGAAATAATAGAATTAAAATGTATAAATACTCTTACAGTAACGCATATGTTTTTAAAAAAAAAGGTTTTTATGCCCGTTCATTCCCATTAGATTTTTTCCAAGTGTAATATTTAAGTGTAATATTTCTGTAATTTCGTACTAGCCCACAATGCAATTCTCATTCAGCTGATTTGTCAGTTAGAGCCATTTTGGTACCTGCTTTGCTAATCTGACACCAAAAAATATAGTCCCAGTTCCCATGCAAGTATGTTTGTCCAAAAACGACTTTTAATACGTGACTGCAGAAAATTAGGTCTTAAAACAATTATTAAAGTTTGAATGAATTCAAGAGAGAATAATTTAATTCTGGTTGTAACTGTGTATTTGATTGGATAAAAAATTACTTTATATCGTATAAAATGGGTTGCCTACGTAACAATCACATGCATCAAAAACGTATCAATCCGCCTGACGTTACATTCAAATTTTGTACAAACTGAA